AATTTCTAATCTTCCACTGGATATACAAAATAATTAGAGCAGAAATAGAATTTTCCAGTGATCTTGCACAGCAAAGGTGAAAACAATCAGATTTCCTAATCACTGGGGTTTTATTTCATGGGATTTTAGGGTTAGTGCATGCAAACCTGATCTTTGTTTGGTTTAAAGTGGCATGTACCAGTTTCACAGAAACTTGTCTCCCACAACAGAAGTATTGACTATTGGAGAAGAAGGGTCCAAAAGGATCATCTGGACAAAATGAGGATATGTCTTTTCTTAGTTCTATAGCCAGTGTACAATGCAGTGTCTCAATATTATTGAACAAAGTCTGATCTTCAGAACAAGTAAACACCACATGCAATCACATTTGTATCTTCTATGCTGTAAGAGCTACTGTACTTGGGTGTATATACAGCTTGGCAGAATTGATCAAGTGACACCGTTCCCCAGCTTGATTTTGAGTGGCCATCCTGTATAATCACGAATATGATACAAACTCAACGAATCACCACTTCTATGCATTCTTCAGTATTTTCAGGTTCATATGCTTTAAGTCATTGTTCAGAGTTGTGAAGATGAAATGAGATATTTGTGAAATAATTAAAACGACCTCTGGCTTATAAAAAGTATTCAGCAAATGTCTGCTGTTATTTTGCTGTTTGTGAATTGGAGTTGTGCCCCTCCACAGAGCAGAGCTTCACATTCCCTCCATCTTCTTCCCTAATCTTCTAAACAGTTTGATGTTTAAACTGCAATTGCCTTGTCTTTCTCTTGCACTCAAAGTAGACAGGTGACCGCAGAAATGACTGCATCACGGGGATGTGGCTGATGCTCTTTCTTTCCCATAGTGCAGAGCCGAGTTACTTCTCCCTCAATGGCTCCTCTGTGTCCCCACCGTTCCCACCCATCAACACCCCATCACCACTCTTGCCAGTGCAGCCTTCTCTTTTGATTTTCTTCTTTGTGCCCTTGGCTGCTTCCTCTTATTTCGACCCTTCTTTTTTTTTCTTTTTTTTTTGTATCGTGTACAAAAAGCCTGACCTTTGTTGACAGCAATTTTCTTTCCATGGCAGAAAATTACTTTTAGTTAGATCCAGCTCTTTATTCTTTTGATTTGCTTTCTTTTCCCCCTGTGCTTATTTTGTTATGGGGTTCTTTAAGGTCTCTTTATTGGTAATTTTTTAAAATATATATTTTTTATTTTTACTCTATACTTTAAAATTATAATATATCATATACATGTATGTAAATACACTCACACACACATCCCCATTCATCGGCAAATGGGAAGGAGGTGATGCTTCCTAATCTGAAGTTATCCCAGAAAGTTGGACTATAATATTTAATAGTAGTAGTAACCATGTCATCACCACAATGAAAGAAGTAAGAATGAAAACAACTATCTGAGTTCTTACTACGCACCATGTGTTGGTCAGATTGATTTACAAAGATAAATCTCAATTCAGCCCAACACTGAACAGTGGCAGTAGGTATCATCCCTCTAGGTGAGATGAGAAGTGGAGAGGTGAAGAAGTCAGGTCTCGGGCTGGAGAGCCACAGAAGGCAAAGGCAGAGCCCCTGACCTGCATTCAAGCTGCAGAGCTCTACTGTTAGCCAGGGCACAAGGCTTCTGAGTCTTCAGTCCAGTCCCTTTAAGTCTGACAGCAAAAAGGTCATCATCACATGCTTGCTTTAAATCAATCAGCATGTCACACAGGGAGGATTACACATCACACTGCAGCTTGAGTCACCCGCGCTACTAGAGTGTTTCTCCTTTTATTATAAAATTCTATTACTATTAAATCTTAGCAGCTAAATCTCCAAGGAACTAATCATCATACCTTATGTTTTAAAGACCTTCCTGGAGAAAAAGTTAGGCAAAAATACCCCAGATCATTGAAATATATATGCTGTCATCTAGGATACTAGCTGTACGCACAAATCACTGTTATTCATTCAGGCTTAATGGAACTGGAGGACATTTGAAAATAATTTTAGACCTTATAGGAATTTCTGTATTGAAAAAACATGTATTTAAAAGATGCTCCAAGGCCTACAGACTCCCAGAATGAAACACACAAAATCACTGAATAATGGCAAAGTATTTTTCACAATTCATTTAAAAGTACATATTAATTATAATTTCATTGCATACCCAAATCTGACCACAGGCATTCTGCAGCATATTGTATACAATTATCTATCGTCATATAGGCAAGATAAGTTTCAAGCTGAATAGCATATTATCCTCTGGCTTGATATGCAGAAGTCATTATATCCAGTAATCCCAAATTGAATGAATAAACCATCTTAGAAATATCCATATAAAATAATACCTCAGTTATGAAAAATGAGTTTTAAAATCCCACTGGAAAGATCATTCATATAGAGAATGCACACACACACACACACACACACACAAACCCACAAAATGTTTTAATGCACTATTTAATAAGCCCAGATGCAACAAAACCTATAAGTATAAAATCAATGCCTCATTTGCTACACATGTCCTTATTTCTTTTTAAAAACAGATTTTTTTCCCTTCCAAATTCAGTTTCTTTTTCCCTCTTTCATATCTATTCTATTCTAGCACTGTGCTATATATTCTGATAGCTGGTCAGTTCTTGAATGAACCATCTTGGCTATATAAGCCTTTAATCTGGAAATGAGTTAGATTAAAAAGTAACTCTTAAGTACAATACAGGTTGAGCATCCCTAATCCGAAAATCTGAAATCTAATAAGGTCCAAAATACCTTTTTGAGTGCCAACCTGACACAAATGGAAAATTCCTTATCTAATCTTATATGATGGGTCACAATCAAAACACAGGTTGCTAAAACGATTAAATAAAATTACCCTCAGCCTATTCATAGAAGGTGTATATGAAACAACAAGTTTCATATTTAGACTTGGGTGCTGGCCCTATGATATCTCATTATGCATATGCAAATATTCCCCCCAAATCTGAAATCCAAAACATTTCTGGTCTCAAGCATTTCAGAGAAATGTACTTATCAAACTATCTCACATAAGGATTGGTTTTCTCCCCCCACCCCACAATCCTTTATGAATTGATAATGGAGTGAAGTACAATACATAACTAAAAGGATGAAATCTAAAAGATAGAATACAAATCCCACTTTAAAAAAATTATTTGGTTTAACAAATAAAAAATTTACTATCAACTAACTGAAAATTTTAAATGCCAACTCTCAATTTCTGCATTTAGTTCCTGGTGAACTGATAACCACGGGCTGCAGATGGGCTCAGGCCCAGGGATCAGCCATTGGGTACCTCTGCTCATGGAGGGCACCTTCATCTACCTTATTCTTAACATTAGGATCATTTCTCCTATAGGAGGCCTAGATGCCTAGGGGACAACGGAGACCTACTATGGTGTCCTGTTTCCGCCTTAGCTCCTGGGAGAATCTACAGTGGTATAATTTATTTGATTGCTTACTTACTATCTTTGTTCTTGACAATCATGAAAGTTCTATGAGAAAAAATACCTTGTCTGCCTCATGATCCCTTTCACTACTAGAGCCCAGGACTGTTAAATTCATTAACAAAATCTCTCCATCACTGTTCTTTTTAGCCTTCACTCAATTGATATTCAGCATGTATAGAAATAGAGTTCTTTTCCAAGGCAGCTTAAAAGTTTTAGAATCTGGCACATAGATAGCATTTATTGTCAGAAGGATGCTATCTGTTATAAGACAGTTTTATTTTATAACCACTGAAAAATATCAAAATTTGTAATGCAGACCTTCTCCTACCAAAGGCAAAACCAAATGTGAAAAGTTTAATGGATCTTGCCCAATAAAACTCTAGCTTACTGTGCAATGAAAAAACCTGAAAAAAAATTCATTTTAAATTGGTAAACTGAAAATAAATGTATAAAACAGTATAAAAAGTGACCATGGAAAATGACATGAAAAAGTGTTCAACATCACTAATCATCAGGGATATGCAAATTAAAACCACTATGAAGTATCACCTCACCCCAGATAGGTATTAGCAAAAGACTAAAGATTACATGTACTGATGAGGACATTGAGAAAAGGGAATCCTTGCACACTATTGGTGAGAATGGAAATTAGTATATATAGCCTTTGTAAAGAAGAATATGAATATTTTTCAAAAACTATTAAAAATAGAGCTATCATACAATCCAGCAATCCCACTACTGGATAAATACCCAAAGGAACTGAAATCAGTACATAGAAGTGACGTCTATGCTCCCATGTTCACTGCAGCCCTATTTACAATAGCCAAGAAATGGAAACAACTTATCTGTCTACCAGCTATAGAAAATGGATGAAGAAAATGTGGCACATATACATAATGGAATACTATTCAGACATAGAAAAGAATGAAACTGTCATTTGCAACATCATGGATAGAAAGGGAGATCATGTGTTAAGTAAAAAAAAGACAGGTGGAGAAAGACAATATCACATGATCTCTCAGACATAAATGTGACCTCCTGGTCTTTGGTAGATGATTAAGTCAACACATATTACATACAGTTTCTAGAGTTATAATTGCTGCCTCCCTAATCTCTTCCCCCATTGCGAAAATGAAGAAACACAGCCCTTTCCGAAAAATTGGTAGATAATATCAAACGCAGGAGTTTTAGCATACATCACACCACAACCTCTTACATGGCTGACCTTTTTTTTTTTTTAATTTTCATTTTTTTTTATTATTGTTAGAAGTTCTAAGACAAAGGCAGAAAACTTCATTAAAATTTTTTTTGAGCTTTTCAAAGAACCTTGAAGATCATTTAGTCTAACCACTTGATGATATGAATATGGAAATTTGGGCCCAGAGAACAGGTAAATGAAGATGCAAACTAGAAGTGGGTGTCCAACCTCTGAGCTGAGTCCACTTGCCATCATCCTCCCCTATCTACCTGGCACCTCAGATTCTGCTGTAGACATTAGCCATAAGCTATGGGGTGAAGGGAAGCAGCAGCGTCAGGATGTATACAGACCTTGCATCTGGTAGCTGTACGGGGCCTGTCCGGGTTGCGGGGTACCAAAGCCTGTGCCATAGCTGAGGAATCCCGTCTGTCCAGGTGACTGAGACTGTGACAATCCTCCTTCAGTCTTGATGCCTGCCCACAATGCACCTAAATCAGTTAGTGACAGCTTATCGATCTGTTCATTTTCCGAAGCTGGTAAATACACAAAAACACACTCCCACAACCATGTAGTCACAAATCCTTTCCCATCTTATCTCAGTAATAAATGGTATATGTGCTTACAACAAAACCATAAAGAACAAATTCAATTCTTAAAAATCTTAGGATTATAACCGACTTGAAGGCTTGAATGCCTGTTCACATGGATCTCATTTTCCTGCATCTGATTTTCTATAACTACAGGAATATCATTTCTATATTCTTTTTTCGTAGAAGTTGATCATCATCTCTTTCATAGACAAGAAATAGCTATAATTAAATGATAGACTAGTTCAAATTTACTATGTTAAGTCAAAATCTTTTTTTTTTTCTTCTTTTCCTAAAAAGTGATTCATAGCGGGTTTTTTCCCCCTTTCTTTCTTTTTTCTCTTACTTATTCTACCATAAAGGTGATGCTAATGCACAACTCATTTTGAAGTCAGAGGAAGCAATCAATGCTGGGCATAAAACTAAGCAGCAGGAGTGAAAACCTTCTCCTGAGTATGTAGACCCCACTAAAAAGCAAGTAGAAAGTGAAGAAGCAGAGAACCAAAGAACTGAATCCTCTAAAACAGCAGAGTGATTTATAAACACAGTGAAGTTGACCAGGACTTCACTCTTTGTTCATTTTCAAATATTCAAATACAATTGTTTCAAGTGTAAAGTACACTTAATTTTTTTACATAATTACATAAAAACAAATTTACATTTTCATATAGTGTTATAAAAATAATGTATTTGTGGCCTCCAAATACTTCCCACAGCACCAGGCTGGCACTCTCATCTCAGGGCTTGGCAGCACTGAGGTTTAGGGCTAGGCTCTGAATCATAATTAAAGACAGTCATGAAAGTTAACAACTGTCCTAAATTCCCACAGAGGGAGAAGAGGAACATTCCTGCCAAGAGAAGTCACATTTTTAAATAATTTTACTTTGCACTTAAGATAAATGATATCTTTAGGATCTAGAATACACAGTAGTCTTACAATTTATTTCCATTTTAGGGGAATTTCATCAGCAGAACGGAGTTCGGTAATTGTCCGAAGGCAGTGGAAGAATCTAACTCTTGGCTGAGGGTGCCTACTCTAATTCCTGGAGTACCTCTGAGTACTTCATAATGACCTTAACATTTAAGGCTTAGCACAACCTTAACATTTCTTAAAAATGTGATTTTTTTCCCTGTATAAGCAATTCCAAACCAATGAATAACTCATACATGTAAATGATCCCTGGGAAAAGCACCTGTCCAACACAGGTGGCTTAATGGCTGTAGAAACTCCCTTTCTTTCCATGATGTCACCAGTAGGGATTTCCCCCTTCTCTCTACTTGAGACCCTCCTGATCTGTTTCTGGCCTGGAGGTTCAGGATGGAAATCTTTGTGATCAGAACAGCTATGGAAAAGCAGGAAGAGGTCGAAAACACCCTCAGTCACCCAGACTTATGTAACTTACACCCTCCAACTCATTTCCCTGCTAGACTCTAAGCAGATCTGGCCAACAACAGAATTAAGTGTTCTTCCCAACTGATTTATTATTTTCACTATGAAAAGATATGCCTGTATTTTGTGGGTTCTTCTTAACATGTTTATCTAATAAATATAGGGGTACAGATCCTTAGAGAAAGTCAAAATTTTAAGATTATCTGGACCTAGGGCTGGGGGTATAGCTCATGGTAGGGAGGGGGTATAGCTCATTTGGTAGAGAGCTTATATAGCATGCATAAGGCCCTGGGTTCAATCCCCAGTACCAAAAAAAAAAAAAAAAAAATTATTTGGACTTTGAGAGGCAGCAGAGAAAACCCTGAACTATGCGTTCTTCTTCATGAATAAGCCAAGTGGGAGAAGGCTGCCTGCCATATTGTTCAATGCCCCAGCCCAAGACAAAGAGAATCTGTGGGTCACAAAATTCAGATCAGCCTCCTTGCACTCAAGGACCAAAATGAATAAAAGATGGGGGTGGGGGTGGGGAAAGGGTAGGACTGAGAACTCTGCCTAGGAGATTGATAAACCATGCAAATCTCTGCCACCAAAGCTCTTAAAACTGAGCCTTCTTCTCATCTTCTCCCATCTGCACTCTCATTAGAATCCCCATCCTCACTCTGCTAGTTTTGATTCTCTTCTCATCTCACCCTGGGCTCCTTTCACTCTCCTGAAATAACTCTCAGACCACAAGGACCATTCATTAATGTTTTAGAACTTAAGTAGATCCTACCCCACAGCCTGGAAATTGGCAAAGAAGGATGCCCAGCCCCTAGCCCAGCTGCATGGGGAGGAGAAAGGAGAGAGGAAGTTGGAGGCTGGCAGAAGCAGTGACAGGAAGACTTCCCAAGGCAATACTGGTCGGCAGACAGTAATGTGGGTGCTGAAAGTACACTAGCCCTTCAAATAATCACCTTATAAAGGTTGGACACATCAACTGGAGATTCCCTTGACTCTTATCACAGAATAAAAGCTGTACAATTCAAATCACAGACCTTTTTTTTCCTTTTATCCCAAGAGCAATTTAAAAGAAAATTATAGATAAATGTGATCTATATTTAATGTTATTGTGAGAAACTTTAGAGAAAAAGTTATGAAAATGAAAGATAATTTTAGAAAGTCTACCTTAAGGCTGCTTCTGGAGTCTGTTTTAAAAACACCAAACTAAATAACATTTATCTCTGATAGTTTTGAAATAAAACTACAAAAAGCTGAAGTTACACATTATTTAGACTTTTATTTGTCTATATTTTATAAGAAATTTATATATGGTCAATTTAAGGTAAAGAGAATTAAAAGGAATAAAGTAAATTGCTTCCTAATTATAAATAAAATGCTTTAAAAGAGCAGTGGTTCTTTCAGTATACTACAGGAAAAAATATTACAAAACAACAATACCAGAAGAATTGTAATCAGAATAATGGATGGATGGATGGAGATATATATATATATATATATATACACACACACACACACATATATATATTTCAATTGAATGTATCTATGTTTGATATATGTTTTATATGTGTGTGTACATATAAAATTTAACAAGAACAAAATTAATTATTCTTCTAGTCCTCTCCCTAACATCCATGTACTTTTTCTAGATCACCAGTTTATTTTTCTCTCACTAAAATGCAAAAATTCATATATTTGTATTCAATTTGTCTAAAATTGCAGTTGCAACCCAACGGAAGAAAAGGTATTTTAAAATTTGAAGGCTTTTTTAAGTTGAACTTTGGGATTTGGCTGGATTTATTTTTAATTTACAGGTGTTGACCCTGTAACAATTGAGTTAAATTACACCAAGATAAAGATAATCTCCAGGTGGGAAGGAACAAATGACCACGTGAATTTTAAGTGCTTCCTGATTTGCCTCTTCAAAGTGCAGTCCAGGAGGTGATACATAGATCCCTTTTCATAAGGGTTGATAATGCTGGAATTTGATAACTCAACCACCCCCCATGTTTAGAGCAAGAGTTTGTTGAATTCCTTGTGTACTTCCCTAATGGTAGGTAGACATCTGATAAATAGGAAATGGATCTTTACCCCAAAAGGACTTCATTCTCAGAAGTTTTATCACAAATATGCACAAAAATACTTTGGATTCCAGAGCCAAGTGCTCAGATGACAAATTCAGAGCTGAGATATCATTGCAGGAAAAGGCAAGCAAGAGGGCATATTGAGCCCCACAATCTGTTCACCACCTCTGACCTCAAGATAAGAAGTCACTAGTTCTTACCATGCTCACTAGAAACCACTGTATTAAGAATTGAGACACCAAAAGGGATGACACTTTCTAAACTGGCCCATGATTGACAATCTTTAAGTACCTCTCAAAAACACAAGAATGCCCACTAGTAACCACCATGACAACAATGGCAGGTCTACTCACCATAAGAGGAAATTCCGTAAGGCTGTCCTGGCTGTGGGTACGTGGTGTAGGCTGTAGCTTGCTGCATTCCTGTGGTAAACTGTGTTTGCCCATATGCAGCCATAGTTTGTGAGGAAGGGGTAGGGAGAATATGTGGGTATGGTCTGCTATTTGTCAGAAATGACAGAAAATAGAAAGCCCATGCATTAGATGGAAACATGCAAGGTAACCAATTAACAACCACATCACAAATTCCAGTTAAAGCATGTATCTTAAAGAACCATTTCAAATATAATAGCCTAAGCACTGAAATACTTCAGTGATGCTCAAAAATAAATTTGCATAAATATATTTAAGCTTCCATGAAACACACTTTTCATTTCAATTAAGATGTAACATGGGCACAGATATGACTTGAAATGAGATTAAAAAGTCTACTCAGAAAAGTTATTTATTGATTAAGAGAAAATACATCTTACTTGGAAGGATAGATCTGTGGTGGAGAGAACTGGTGAGTTGGTCTTGGGCTGAAGCTGCTGCTCCCGATTGCTGAGAGGGAAAAAAAATGCAAAATAATCCAAGAGAAAATAGAAAGTACACAGAAAACATTGATATATTTTGAATTATGGCTTTACAACATGAAATGTCAGATAGTGGACCTTTGTTTCCTGCAGAAATGGCAATTTCACATGGGTATGTCTAACAGGAAGTTAAAGTATAAAAAGGTCACCATAAGAACTGATGTTAAGTGACTCATTTTAATTGAACTCTTAGAAACATAGTCACAGTCTCAAATACCCATCAGTATGCTGTGATGGTTCTCACAGGGGGGAATACTTTAATGGTACGGGGAGTCCTGGCCACTCTTTGGAAGGGGAGGTACCAAGCTGAATTGCGGGGTTGGGCAGGAAAGCAAAAGGTCTATTGTCTGTGCTCAATGGGAACACACAAACCTGAGCCTGAATTACCAAGAAACATGGTATAATCTTCTCTCAGGTGAGTAGAAATAGGATAGATCTTCATTTGCCTGCATTGGTTTAGCAATGTTTTTTAGTAAAAATGCATTCCTATAACTATTTTAAATTTCTCAAGTTGCAGGCTAAGCCTGTATTTTCTTGTGCTGATCCGGGTGTTTTTTTTTTTGTCTTCTAGATATATGTGTTCAACTTGAATGTTCAAGCAAAAAACTTTTCTTCTTTTTCTTTCCTTAAAGAGGTATTTAAGCATTCGAGCAGAACCTAATTTCTTTTAATCAGATTTACTTGAATCAATGTATTTCCAAAGTGCACTGAACCTTTAAATGTTTTCATACCCATTCTGAATTAAAGAAGCAAAATCCATTTTAACTAACACAAGCCCATAAAATAGAAATTCTCAGCCCTTTCGGTTGCAAGTAAGAACAATCTACAGATATAATTACAGTTGTGTATATGTGTATCCATATGAAATCATGCACACATATTTACATTTATGTATGTATACATACTTTTCTCCCCTAAAACTACCTAGTCTTTACCTGGCTAACACAGATATTCTTTGAGTGCAATTATTATAATACAAACATGATTATTTCCTTCTTCCACTAATAGTCACTGTCTTCAGAGTCACTTATTATTTATTAACTGTATTCTACAGTGAAACTCCTTCATAAAATCCCATGTAGTTAAAGTTTTATGTATTTTTCATGTTGTCACATCAGTGCATTTATGGCTCTCACATTTAATTTTCCAGCTTGTGTTTAAGGGGACAGTAGTAGAGTTGGAGTAGAATCTCAATATCTATAAATAATCCCTCCCAAGCAAAACAAACAAGGCCTAACCTAGGGACAATAGGACAGATCTAGATCAATCCTACTCTTTCCAGCTGCCAGACCTCTACCATCTGGCTGTCAATTTGGCAGAGACAGAGCAAATCTATATTGCAGAGATGGAAGGAGAGTCCAGCCAGCCTCTTCCCCCAACCTTGGTCTTCTGGCACACATTGAGTCAAGACTCAGTTCCAGGCACTATACAAGATGCTGCAGAGCAAACATGCAAAGACAAGTTCTGCCCTTGCTCTGTGGGAAGGCTGACGCACAAGTAGCTGTGGGAGGATTAGTGAAATACTGCTGTTTATAAAAGGGAGGGATTAGTGAGGAAACACTTGGACTACAAGGACTACCACTTGCCCAGGTATCTGACTGCAGCTCCTTTTATTCCTCCTTTCTAAGCCTGAAAAGGGGCCAAGGGCAAAGTGGATTTATCCAGCGGGTTGTTGGAGGAGTAATATCTTCCCTGGACAATCATAGTTAAAACAATTGCTCGAAAATAATTTAATGCAATGCCACACCATGGTGGAAGCCAAGAAAAACCTTCGATTCTCTTCTAGCTCTACCTATGTCTTTCAAATTATGGGCCATGATTTAAGAAATGTTCACAAACTCAATAGGATGCACCCAACAATTAAAAAACAAATGATAGAAGATAATCGAGTGTATTAATAGAGTAATAGAAATTCTATGAAGCTTGGATTTACAGCATAGGCAGAGTATATGTGCATAAATGAGAAGAGAGATTTGAGAGGCTGCAGATTATTGTAGTTAAGAACATGTTCTGGAATCAGAATTTAATTTCAGCCCAGATTCAAAGCCTAACTCATATAAGCTCTGAGGTTATTCCCTCTAAGCCTCAGTATGCCTTCATAAAAAATAATGGCTATAATGCCACCTATACCTGCTAGGATTGTTATGAAGACTAAATAAAATAATTGACCTAAAATCATTCATACAGGATTTGTGCTTATAAATGCTAATTTTCTCAGATCCCTATTACCTTTGCCCAAAATTTGCCCTTCCTTCTATTTTTTTTTTAAGTCTAAAGGATAACATCACCATCTGCTCAGCAAAATGCTTACAAACAGCCTTTCTTACTCCCGTTTTATATAGAGAGTTCAAAGCCAGCCTCAGCAACGGAAAGGCACTAAGCACCTCAGTGAGACCTGTCTCTAAATAAAATACAAAATAGGGTGGGGGATGTGGTTCAGTGGTTGAGTGCCCCAAGTTTAATACCCAATACCAAAAAATAAAAAAAAAGTCTAGAAGTAGGTCTTCATCCTTCTCTTTCCCTCACATTCATATACTCCTTCATCATTAAGTCCTGTTGGCTCTCTCTCCAAAAAATACTCTGAATCTGACAACTTCTCACTTTGATTCATCTACCACCCATTCCAATCTCCAACACTGTGGCAAACACTGTGGCAACCAGAAAAGGCACCTCTCAAGTCTCCTGCTGTAGGGTGTATAACTGACCAAACGCCCAGCCACTGAGCTCTGAAATCCATCTATATAAATTCAGGGAGGCCACACGGGGAAGGGCTTCTCCTGGCCAATAACAATGCTGGGGATAGTAAGGCAGCCTGTTCCTGGAAGACCTGCTACTCTGCTGATGGCCTTGCTCATAGGTCATGAGACTGTCAATTAACCTAACCTGCCTTTCTTCCCTTTCTCCTCTACTTCTTTCCCCTAACAAAATCCTGGAACATTTAATCCTGCCTCTAGCGACTCTTCTAGGAGCTAATACAGCTAACACGAGCTAACACAGACATCATTTTCCTGGCCAGGGAAATACCCGTCTCCCTGTTTCCACCTGGACTTTTCCATCCTTCATCCCACAATGCCTTTTCCATGTAACAAACAGTGATCTCCTTCACAACAGGAATTAGATCTGTCACAACCCAGCTTACCTTCAACTCCCTACAACCTCCCTCACTTCACCAAAATCTCTGTTCTGATGCCTCCTTCTTGGAGACCTCCTCTCTAAGAATTCTCCATCCACCCTTCCACTATATTCTTTGATGAGTTTTCATTTTTTTCATAGTACTTTTCAGAGGCTGAGTTAGGCACGTAAGACTCACCACTCACCTATGTATTATCTGGCTCTCCCATGGAATACGAGCTCCATGAAGGCTGGGACCTGTCCACCATCTCACTGCTATATTCCCACATATAGCAGGTATTTGACAAAGAACTGCTGACTTAATGATTAGGACCCACAGAGTTGTGTCTTTTTATGACCTATTAAAAATCTTACAACTGTATATATCATTCATATTTTTTTCCTCTTCCAGAAGTATTCTTGTTTCTATTTTCCTTTTTCTAATATCATTGGACATCAACTTTGTGTAATCAATATCATCGACTAGCATCCTATCCACTTTATAACACATTTAGACTTTGGGAAAATGGCAAAAGTGACATGCAAAGATATTAGAGTATGCACATTATTTTCAATCCCTGTGATTCTTAAAATTTAAATCATCACAATATTGCTTTCTGTTGGTAAAGAATAAGCAAAACATCATTATGCTTTAAAAACATGATAAACAACCTTATAATTTTTAAGTCAGCCACACGCCTAGAAAACCAACCAGTCTCCCCACACCAGGATACCTGAGGGACTCCGTGGAGCACAGGCACCCTTGAGGCCTCCTTAGTGCTTTGGAAATAATATAATTCCTTAAGAGCCAGAGGCGGGGTTACTATTCCCAATATCAGAGTGACTCCATTTCTTCTTTTTCTGTCTTATTTCTAAAGACACAAGAGCAGTTGGGATGGGCATTTTTGGGTGCACACAAATTTTTAAGCCATCATGGACAAGAAAGTAGGAATGGTTACCGCAGAGGTAAAGATCATTTTGGAGTTAGAGGTTTAGAGATTTCTTTCTTTTATAAATCCAAAGCCCTATTCACAGCCATCCTAACATTCCTTGTTTTTTGTATTTTTTTCTCATCAGGAGAAAAGGAAGGAAGGAGGCAAGCAGGAAGAAAAAATGTGAAAGACTGTACAAGTATAGATACCTCCATGATCTTTGTGCTTCCTATGCCTTGACCCAACTCCCCACCTGATTCTTAACACCGCGTTTGACACAGATAATCAACCTGTGGAAAGCAAGACCCTTTCTAGATTTTGCCCAAACTATCCCTCCACCTCCCTCTAGGCTGGTTTCCTAAGCCCTTGATTCTCCTGCATATCTTTTCCAAGTAGAAGGTGCACTTTATCCCAGATTCTAGGTATCACAAAGACCCTGGAAAACATATCTTCATTGCTTCTTCCAAGCATTGGTTTCCTGCTCTCCTGCAGAAACACTCTTTCTCTGAGGTTCCTGAGAGCTCTTTCCCACTTGCATGAATGATCCACCTCCTAGACCTTTAGTATTTGGCTGCATCTCCAGATGAGCCCCAACATTACCCTGGGTTGTACATCCAACACTTTTCTCAGCTTTCTAGGTCTTCTATCCAGCCTCCTACTTCAGTAATTAAGTTCATATATTATCCAGACCTTTTTTTCCTCCGTTCCATGGTCTCAAGCTATAAGCACATTGGCCAATTCTTTCATCTGCTTAAGCAGACATTTACTGAGCGTTTCTATGATAAGGTTGGATAAGACCCATACAGAATCTTTATTCTCATAAGGCTATAGCTTAGCAGGAAGGCAGATACTAAAACATAATTTGAAAAGTAGTAAGAAGGATAAGGAAGGGAAGTATGGAGAACTAACTACAGACTCTAGACTTTTAGAGGAATCAGACAGGAGTTCTCTCAGCACATTGCCCCTCCTCCACTTCAAATTCTTCTGCATTCCCTTCCACTTCATCTTCCACAGTGAAGGAGTTTTTCCTTTCCTAAGCTGACCCACCTCTGTTTTGGGTTGAAGCTATTGCTGTCCCATCAGGGACTTTCCTTCATCGATTACCTATAAATTCTGTGTCTATAACATAAAGCCTCCCTGACCTTCTCAATGTCACCCCTTTCTCTACCAAAACTGACTTTTCTTCCCCTCCTTTCACCACCATGCTCTTGAAAGATCTCTTTTTCTTCCTCACCTTGTTCTCCCAGTCACCCACCCACTCAGCAATCTTGATGACCACCTGCTACACACTAGGAACTCGGTTGGGCACACAGAAACGGGATGTGTAAAACGGGATGTGTGATCAAGTTGGGGAAAGGAAAAGTAAAGTCCCCCTGTCCACAAAAACTGCCATAGGCTACATCCACAGATGCTTCTAATTTGTTTTGACTTTGTCCTAATCTGAGTCTTGTAGAGAAGTTACAAGAATAATATGAAAACTTCCCAGATAGCCTTCATCCAAATTCTCTACCATTATATTATATAAGCTTTATACTCAATACACTGTGTTTATGTGAATATATACACATGTAAATCTCACATTTGGGGGGAGTTTCCCAGAAATGAATAAATAAATATATAAATGTGTGTGTGTATGTGTGTGTGTGGCCTAAAACTCCTTTAATATTTTAAATAATAATCCAGAAATCCATATTAATTTTAATTTCCTGGGACCAGAATAACCTACAGCAAAGGGAATGTCTCCAGATCATCTATCAAAGTAAATAATACAGTCACATTACCATTAGTGAACTTCAAATTGCATTTCCTGCAGAGCCTTGGGAGCATATGAACAACCAATGTCTCCCTACCTATGTCAGCACATATGAGAGTTACCCAAATGATGTCCCTGTCCTCATAAATATTTCAGTTTTTATTTCTTTAAACAAGGAATTCCTTTACCATAGCACATTATCAAAATCAGGAGAAACAGTGATGCAATACTTTTATCTTCATATACTTTCAAAAATCAATTATCTCTTTGTAGCACATGTTTAACTTGTACTTAAAAATTGTTACTTTTGAAAAATACAAATGTTACACACATGCATTGTAAAAAAAAGATATTTGGGGGAAAAAAACCAAAAATCATAAAGAATGAAATTCAAATTATTCTTCCACCCAGAGAGTTTCACCGTTAATTTTTGTACCCATATACAGAGGCACACATCTATACACATAAATGTCTTTCTTTTGAAACTTAACTGATTATCCTATGTTATTCTCATGTAATCTGCTTTTTACTGTAGAGTTAACCTTTTCTCATGTCATTTAAAAAAGCTGCATATGAATCTGTCATGTAGACAGTGCTTCCTTGACATTCTTCCCTTCCTTCACTTCTATTCAATGCTTTTTCTTCTTCCCCAGTCACTCCTGTTTCCATTTGATCCTCTACCCAACTCTTCCATATATGAGTGTGTATGTGTGTTTTCCCTGGGTTCTTTCTGAACCCTATTATTGCCTGCTAACTTTAATCTCCAGTATAGTTTCAAAATTCCCTCTTCATATCTTTCCTGGGCTCCAATCCCACTTGACATCTTCAGGTAGATGATATCTTGTATTCAACATGCCCAAAACTGAGGTCACCACTTTTCTTTGTCAATTTTTCTCCTATTTCCTAGCTCCTCTCTCTCAGCCACACTCACCTCCCATGTCCCTTCATCACTAATGACTATGAATCTCACTTCATAAATACACTGAATCCCTCCTTCCCATACTTAGGGACAACACTTATGTTGTCTTCAATATTTCTTGCCCAAGTTAATACAATAAATCCTCTAATTGGCCTCTCCAGTTAAGCATCCCCAAACCATCCTGCCCAATAATCATGGCTCTGGATTATGAATATAAGCATGAAATCTCTACCTGTGATGCTTCCCATTGCACTTAGGATGAAACAAACTCTGTGGAGGGAATACAAGCCTCTTCGGACTCTAGCCTCCCTCTGCAGCATATCCTTGCTGTTCATATACAAACTAAGAATGCTGAACCATTAGTTTTCCCAAGTTGCACGCACTATGTACTGTGGTCCCTGCCCATAGAGGGGCCCATCTGTCCAACATCCCCATCTCTAGTTCTACATGTGCTTTCTTCCTACTCATTTTTTTTTTTAATAGAGTGAAGCCACCTATTCTGGACACCTTCCCTGACCAGCCCGTCCCAGCCTGGTCTCCACTGGGTCTCTTCCTGTTCTTAGGGCTTCCCAGTCTTCCCTCTGACATTACCAAACAGCTCTATGAAGGTTTGGTCATTTGTTCACTCCATCATGCCCTGAACTAAGACCATTTCCATACATCTATGCATTCATAATAGGTCTGAGCACACTGTCTGGCTTAAGTCAAAATCCAAAAAATGCTTTCCAAAAGAACAAATGGATATAATATTATGCTTTCTTATTTCATTATTGTTTCTTACCTGGTATCATTAGTATTGATGAAGTGTACATTTGCATTTAATTTTATCTCTCTATATAATCCCCTTTAGTTGTGATGTATATTAAATATGTAACCCTGAGAGCTAGATTAAATCAGTCACAAATTCATGAAAGTACAGCATTTCTGACTGAGAGGTCTTATAAATATAGCAGATATTATGAGAAGGGTTGAAAATTTAAAAAATATCTTTGATATAAAGAACTTTTAAATGAAACAGTGTAAGCTGGATAACTTGGCAAATAGTATCTCACAGTTATTTCACCACTACACTACCTTCTTGTCAGTAATCTTGTCATGACAGATATAAAACTTGGCCATTTCCTTTGGCAGAGACAGATTCTATTAATGGGAAAGAGATAAAATATGACTTAAGAATTTAATACTGTTTCACAGAGTCTATTTAACTTAGCTATATTATTTACATGATAATTATTTAAAAGGATGATGGGCAAGTCTATTCAAGAAGTAAAGGTCAGATTCTGCCTGCCCAAATTCACATGATGGGAGAAAGGATACAAACAAGATCTAAATGGAGAAACAGTTCATCACACTGAATAAAAATATCCAAATTTGGTCATATGTGATTCTGAGCAAAGCTATAATTTATATGTATATTTATATGTATGTACACGGACATCTATATAAATACATTAGAATAATATTGAATATTAGTGTGAAAATCTAATATATGTTCCTTACCTGAACCTGAGAAATTGTCTAAAGACCCGTCTGCTGTTGTTGAAGCTATTTCGCTGCTGCTCATTGGCTCTGTTTTAACTACAAAAATAAACATACATCATATATCCAATTAATAGTTGTTTGTAAAGGCATGGTACAACATTCAAATAATGGCAAGAAATTCACCTTTTCCCATTGGAATATAAATCAGGTTAATATTCTTAATAGAATCTCTTCTAAAAAAAAATAATGTCTTTTCCCCCTGAGAAAACAATCTACGGGGCTGAGGTTGTAGTTCAGTGGAAGAGTGCTTGCCTAGCACGCAGGAGGTACTGGGTTCGCTCCTCAGAACTTCATAAAAATAAGTAAATAAAATAAAGGTATTGTGTCTATCTACAATTAAAAATAAGAAAAGAAAGCAATCTATTATTACAAGTTACCTTTTAAGAGCAACACTTTACAAAGTAAACTCATTGTTCCCTTATATATTTACTAAACAATGTTAATAAATAATATTATTGTTAATAAATGATATTAATGCTAATAAATAATATTGTGATAGGGAATGTTTCCTATCACAATAAAGAAAAATCTTCATTATTTGGCCTGTCAAAAAGGTAAAACAAAATGAATTGAAGCAGTGGGAAATAATTTACTGTTTAAACATCAGCAGGATTTCAAGACACTTCAGGGTAGTTGCGTACATACCACACAGGTGCACACACATGCTTTATCACATTATGTAGCATGAATCAAAGACAGTAATCCATTAAATTGAGAACTATCACCAACTCAGATAAAACTGCCAATTCATCAAAATTTTATATATACTTAGTACCAGAAACAACACACTATGAAGAAGAAATGAAGTTTTCCACCTCAAAATAGAATGAAGGATAGGAGACAGTTTATGGATTAATTATATACAAATGATCTTTGATAAAGTTCCTTTTGGTAAAGCAGGAAATTTATGCTATAGAGTCTCCAAAGTAAACCTCTCCCCTGACAGATTAATCGAATTATTGTACTCCACCAAATGAGCCAGACCATCTCAGAACATCTACCTTTTTCCTCCCTAGTTTTCAAAGGAGGAGCTACAATTATTTGTTTTTCCTGGAAACTTCTGATCAAAGGCCATCTTTAGAACTTGCCTACCCTACTTTGTGGAAGTTACTTGTTCCCCATTAATAGGTTTTTCAGAAAGGGGGCATTAATTTTTAAAGGCAACCTAAAAATTCCTGGTATGCTTTCTGAATTGAAAACTTCAACAAGAAAATAATCAGGGAGGCTTTGCTCACAAAGTGAACATATTCTAAAAGCTGAGAAGATGACAGAGAAATGTAGCTCTTCCTTCATTCAACATGGCTGAGCTCTAAGAAATACCAAGTGGAAGACAAATTCATTCCACTCCTAGGTCTCCAAGTATTTTACGAAAGCATAATGAGTAGTTTTCAAATAAGCATTATAAATAGATGTATCAGATAGTCACTTTCAAAAAAATTAATTATTTATATGGGTTCTAAACAAGGTTGGGGGGAAAAAAAAACAGCGAGACTAATGAAATCACTGGGCCTGATTGTTTTCATGTAGACCACACAACAGTGAAACTGAAGTTGTAACTGAAGTTTTTGCTTTTCTGCCAGTTGTTTTGGGTTAGAAGTCTTAATTGACGTTAACAAATTCTGACATAAGCCTGTATTTCCCTTCTTTCTCCGTGCCACCAGCAACCTAATGATCTTGCTCTTCAGAACCACTATACTGCCAGGGTTTTAGGAACGCCAGTATTCCACAACTAGTGCAGTTTCAAAGAGACCTCCCCAATTGTCCACATCACACCTTATCCCACTTAAAAAAGGACACATGTAATGCTTTGTACACATAAAAACAATAGTTCTATATTACTCTATGCTCGACAGATAACCACTGGGATTCTGAACTCAGAATCGAACCCCACAAGCTTAGCAAAAGATTAGAATAAGGTGTGACGGAAGCAGGTCATGTAAAGTGTCTACTCTGTGTCAGTCTTTATAGACATTAATTCTTCAAGACAACTCTATATGTAGATCTCAGAATTCATTCATAAACTCCCTGGTCAGGTATTGTTTTCTTGTTTTGCATGCAAAAATTGAAACCAGAGAGGGTAGGAAATTGCCCAAAGCCACAGAGGAAGAGACAAAAATAAATATTAATTTTCAATGTGATTTTACTCCAAGGACCACAAACAAAGTTTGGATAATGATAATAAATGGCACTTCCCATTGTTAGAGCCACTCTACGAGAGCAAGGCAGCTGAGTCACAGTGTCACACACTGTGGTAGAATGGAAAATGAAACCCCAGCACTCCCTGCCTGCCCTCCAAGATTCTCAGAGCTTGCAGTGTAGTAAACTTGCTGGAAGATCTGAAGCAGAAGTTCCATGCCCAAGTGTCGGGAAAAGAGAAAAAGGGAATTCTTGTACTGTGTAGAGTGTTATTCCAAATTTCTTTCTAAGTCTGCAAAATCTACGGTCTATGATTCTATTGATGAGACTACACAATTGCTTTGTAAAAGCTTGCCTATAACATCAATCCCAGTACCCCTAAAACCTACACCAGCTCTTCTCCATGTGAGTAGCTTAATCAAATGCAACTTTCACTCCCAAGAGGTACATTGTTATACCTGAAATCCATTAAAACTAGGCAAAAAGAATAGAAAGGAAGGGAAGATGATAGGTTTTCTTTTAGGTTCCAAGTTCATTGCTTTTTGCCTTTGTTCAAATATACCCATCTATACACTGAGGAATAAAGACTCCCAATGAATCCAATTTTTAAAAAGGTTCACTGTTGAAGGGAAGAGGATGTACTTAAAGTAACTACCAGGATATTCATGATTGTATCAGGTCCTGTAATTGAATACTTTGATCGCCAGGGACCAGATGCTAAAAAGACTACTGATTTATTGGGATGTAAAATAGTGTCCAAGGGAAAGTCAAAAAGAACAGAGACTATGCTGGCTTTGTTGTTGCCAACTATATACCTATTTAGAGAATTATAAGAACAAAAATAATCTAGCAACCAAAATGTTACCCATTTCATCCCCACTAGTATGAGCACATTTACCAGTAGGCTACAGATGACATAATGGACCACCTCCAAGAATTTGAACTTAAAAACATCACATCATGAAGTTTTTTAAGTTTTAGATATTTAAGGTACTGTAACAGCTGGGAACAGCTATCCCATCTAAGCTACCTTTTTGAAAAGCAAAATCTGTGAGTGATCTATGCTCCTCTAAATATCCAGTATTACCTCCCTGACACTTTTTTGTCATTTACTATCAGCCTATTAGAAAATAGACTGAATTTTTTTGTTCTTGTTTGCCCACATTCAAATATGTCTGTTTTTTTCTCAAGTTTCCAATCTTCCATCTGATCTATTTAAGGACCTACTCATACTCATCCTTTACAAACTTCAGAAATTCCTCCTCTTTGTCCCTTTAATCTCCGTGGTCCCCCAGACTCCTTTAACTGGTCCCATACTCCAGGCTTGAGTTATGCAGGGAAACTCTCCAGAGTATCACCCATCCAGAGTTCCACCTTTCAATCAATACCTTCAAGCTTTGGTGTTAAGAGTCAGAGAATGCAATTAAATGCTCTAAGACTTATTAAAACACGTTTGATTCTTTGAGTTTAATTACCTTGTGTGCAAAATTAAAAGCCTTTTATCTTCATTACAAGACTGCAATAAGGATTCCTAAAAATCTATGTAAAGTACCTGGAATCAAGTAGGAGCTGAACCTATATTCATTATCACCATTAACACAAAGAGTCCTAGTAGTTTTCTTCTTCTTTTGGGCTGGATGCCCTTCTATTTTCTGCTGGAGAGTAATACCAGGTAGTAATATTGAATAAAGAGCTGAAAGTACCAGCTTTGGAATTATCAATTGAATTTCAGTCTAGCTTGGTCACCAATGGTGTAAATATGGAATATTACTAATCTTATGTGCTCCTCAGCTTCCTCACCTGTTAGTGGGATTGTATATGGATTACAATATATTCATGAGAGAATTAAATAAAGATAAATGAAAATATAAGGAAACCAGTAGAATAGAGGAAAGGAATTGAGAGGGAGTGAGAAAAGGAGGAAAGGGGAAGAACTTGGAAATAGAATTGACCCATATGCTATGTGCATGTACAAATATACCACAAAGAATCCCACTTTTATCTATAATTATAATGCACTAATTTAAAAAAGTAGAAGGGAGAGTAGTAAAATAGAAAAAGTGGGTTATGGGGAGGGAAGAGGAGAGGTAGGAATGAGGTTAATCAAATTAGATTATTTGCATATATGAATGTCACAATGAATTCCACTATCATAATTATAAATACACCAATAAAAACCATAAAAGATAAATTATTATAAATCACTTAGCACTACACTAGGTCCAGAGTCCATGCTTTTTAGTTAGTCCCTCTACTAGTATTATATCATCTCTTTAATTATTTAATTTTGAGAAATCAAAGCATTTCGGTTTTTTTTTTCCTTTCTTTTCTCATTTTTTTCTTTCTTTTTCTAATTTTTTTTAAACAGTACTGGGAATTGCACCCTGGGTCTTGCACATGCCAGGCAACCACTCTATTATGTATCCCTACCTCATAAAGCAATTTTTAAGATACAGCTGATTGGGTCAAAATTTGTCATAAGCATCACATTAAAGTTAAGCTTATCCTTTGAAAAGTAAATGAGAAGAATCTAAAGTGAAGTGACTTTTCTAAGATCAATCATAAGGCAATGCCTCAGGATAGCTAATATCAAATCAAGGTAACCTGGCGATAATTCAAGAAAGCAGGACTAAATTATGATTACATTAAGAAAACTGCTACCTTCATCAGTAAAGCCAGTGTATGCTCTTTCTGAAGGAAGAGCAGGATAATATACAAAAGAGTTGGGATCAAGAATTCCGGGGAAAGATGTAGCCATCTCTTTCTATTACACTTTAGGGTGCCTCTGAAAATGAGGAACCTGTCTTCCTTCACCATAAATTTAAGTGAAGAATTATCCATCACAGCATGATGACATAACAATCAAGACCATCCAATTAAGCCATTCCACCATGATCCCA